CTTGGGGGACTTTGCTTTCTTCGCCTTGGGAAGCTTGACCTTTGGTGCCTTGGCTTTTGGAGACTTCTTGGGCTTAGCAGCAGCAGGTTTGGGTGCGGCTGGAGAAGATGCTGCCGCTGGGGCACTGGGCGCGGCGGCAGGTGCTGCGGCCTTAGCTTTCTTCGGCTTGGCAGCTGCCTTCTTTTTTGGAGACGCAGCTTTCTTCGCCTTGGGGGCGGCCTTCTTCTTTGGGGAAGCAGCTTTCTTGGGTTTGGTGGTCTTCTTTTTTGGAGACTTGGCCTTCTTCTCGCCAGCAGCAGCCTTAGCAGCAACTGGAATTTTGAAGGATCCACTTGCCCCAGTTCCCTTGGTTTGGGTCAGTTTTCCAGTCTCAACCAACTTGGTGATGGCTTTACGAATGAAGGTGGCTTGCTTGGTGGTGTCAACCTTGTAGGTGTCGGCGATGAACTTCTTCACTGCTTGCAGCGAAGAGCCATTCCTTTCCTTAAGGGACTTGACCGCGTTGATGACCATTTGAGTAGTGGGTGGGTGAGAAGCAGCTGCCTTCGCCCCCTTTGGCTTTGCAGCGCCAGCTTTCTTGGGGCTCTTGCCTTTCTTCGCAGGAGCGGGAGTGGCCGCTGGGGCGGCAGTCGCAGCTTCTTCGGACATGATGATCAGTTTGTTGTTTTTGATGCTTTTTCTTTCAGTGAGAGAGACAGCAGAATTTGACGCAGGATGAGGCAAGTTTGAGATTGAGACTCAATTTATAAGGGGATGGGGATACGAGAGTGCCGACGTACTCGGGGCAGCTACTTTCCCTCCTGAGTTGCCAGAGTGGCGGTTGAGTTGTGAGCAAGATTTCCTGTATGGAGGGAAAAAGTGAGAACTTTATGGAGCGATTTTATCATGTAGCGGATGGATTCCCTCGTGATTTCTTTTATGTTTTTATGAATATCGAACTTTGGTTTTACGAATTGAATTGGTACTTCAGTTAAACTCCCATCGGATTTACTTTGCAGTTAATACAACTCTCTTTGAACGCATGCCTCATTAAGCTAAATTAAAATAACCCCTTAATGTAAATTATTTTAAATGTTTAGTTTGGTGCATCAATATTTGTACATGACCCCAGACTGTTTCACCTATATATGAGATAACTTTGACTTGAGGAAGGGGCCGGATCATCTAAAAAGAAACGACGTACGGCCTTTTGCTCAAGTCAAAGTTATCTCATATATAGGTGAAACAGCCTGCATGACACGTTGATCCGTCTTCAGCTTAATCTACTTCGAGATGAATAGAAGCTTGCCAATAGCACAATGTCATAAAAAATCTGTGATTTTTGTACAGATTTCCACATCACACCCGACTCGCATCTAGTCGGATATCATTATGAGAGAATCATTGCATAGTTTCCATTGATTGCCATATTAATTTCAATTTAATGTGATTGGTACTTTATCTATACGCCGACATAAACTCTTAATGGGTCTCGCACCTAAACCAAGATTCCTGGATTAATTAGTATAAAATGAAGTGTGCCATTGATGCTGACGAATTCATGAGCCCCTGATAAAATCTCGCATTATAATTAATGTCATAAATTGACATTAATTAGATATATTTAGTAGATATATTTAGCTCTTTGGAAAATGTGGTGGCCCTTAAAAGGGCCGTTGGGTTATAAGATGTTGATAAGGTGGGCTTGATGAAGGGACGAGATCAGTTTAACCGCCGAATCCGTAGAGGGTGCGGCCTTGTCGCTTGAGGGCATAGACGACGTCCATGGCGGTGACCGTCTTCCTCTTGGCTGCTCAGTGTAGGTGACAGCGTCTCGGATGACGTTTTCAAGAAAGACCTTGAGGACTCCACGGGTCTCTTCGTAGATAAGGCCAGAGATTCGCTTGACACCTCCACGACGAGCGAGACGACGGATGGCAGGCTTGGTGATTCCTTGGATGTTATCACGCAGGACTTTACGATGTCTCTTGGCGCCCCCTTTGCCGAGTCCCTTTCCTCCCTTTCCACGACCAGTCATTTTGAATTACTTGAGTGAGAAGTAGATTGAACTTATGAAAGTTACAAAGTTGACGAGTGATACAAACTGACTGAAATGAGATTGATTATATACACCTCGAGAGCGGACGTTGGTGAACCGGGTAGACTTTCCTCCTCTCTCTCCCCTCCACTCGAGTTCCCTCGCAAGTGAGAACTCAGGAAGTTTCTCGGCAACTCAACCCAAAATTTTCCCTCCATTCTCCACATATCTTGTACGGATTGCTGTTCCATGCATTCTCCACAACTCTGTTGAGTTCTCCGCAACTCAGCTCACAACTCAGCCTCCTCATATAAAAGCTTCGTCGTGTCTCCGTCCCATCATCATTCTACTTTCTGAATTCACCAAAAGAAGATCTCAAACTATAACTTTGCAAGATGCCACCAAAAACCGGAGGAAAAGCTGCGGGGAAGAAGGCCGTGTCCAAGTCCAAGAACTTACCAAAGGGGGACGGGAAGAAGCGACACCGCAAGAGGAAGGAGTCCTACGCCGTGTACATCTACAAGGTCCTCAAGCAGGTCCACCCCGACACTGGCGTCTCCTCCAAGGCCATGTCCATCATGAACTCTTTCGTCAACGACATTTTCGAGCGGATCGCCTCCGAGTCCTCCCGCCTGGCCCATTACAACAAGAGGTCGACCATCACCTCTCGGGAAATCCAGACGGCCGTCCGACTCCTCCTCCCAGGAGAACTCGCCAAGCACGCCGTGTCTGAGGGCACCAAGGCTGTCACCAAATATACCTCTTCCAAGTAGATGACTGACCCACAACTTCCACAAAAAAATACCCAACGGCCCTTTTAAGGGCCACCACTTTTTCCAAAGAGCTAAAAAATGATACTCGCATCTATAATCGCATGTATTTTCATTTTCGTCGATTTATTTATTCATTGTTGAACTGACTCACGTCGATGTCATTCACATACAAAATTGAGATCATGTTGTAACACTGCTAAACACTAAAATGCAGTCGAATTGGATTATTATGATTATGCAATCACTTTATTATTCAACTGCTAAAATTGAGGCAGAGTGAGATTGCATTTTGACTCGATTACTGTCTAAATAAGCTGAAAATATATAATTCTTCATCCGTTCCGTTAACCAATTTAACATTATAATTTTATCAACGTTTCAATTTTTGTCTGCTACCCAATGAACACAAATATTTATATGAAATTTTGACGAGAGCCTGCGCAGACAACACCCATGAATTTGCATGAATTGGTAGAATGCTAAAAATCCTGTATAAAACATGAACGAGTACTATGAAGGAGCGTATTATTATTTTTAAATAAAAAAATAACTTATACGATAGTAAATATTTACTATCGTATAAAGGAGGAGGATGAAATTACTGATTTCATTTGTAACAGTAAATGCTCTGGAAATGAACAAGGAAAAATAATGACCGTTTCATCTTTTTGTGCATCATTAGTACTAATTGCGTTATTTTGTTGCCAATAATTTCTAAAAAATGAAACTTGACTTTGATGATGCCAAGTTGAGCATGATGAACGAATAAAGCGCATGGTCATAATTATGCATTTTTTGAGCTCTTTGGATAATGTGGTGGCCCTTAAAAGGGCCGTTGGGTTTTGAGCGTGTAGATTTGTGATTAGGCGGACTTCTTTTCCGTCTTCTTGGGGAGAAGGACGGCTTGGATGTTGGGAAGGACACCTCCTTGAGCGATGGTGACCCCGGAGAGCAGCTTGTTCAACTCTTCGTCATTTCGGATGGCGAGTTGGAGGTGACGGGGGATGATCCTGGTCTTTTTGTTGTCTCGGGCAGCGTTTCCAGCCAACTCGAGGACTTCAGCGGCCAAGTACTCCATAACGGCAGCCAAGTAGACGGGGGCACCCGCACCCACTCGCTCGGCGTAGTTCCCCTTCCTCAAAAGACGATGGATACGACCCACTGGGAACTGGAGCCCTGCACGGCTGGATCGAGACTTTGCCTTTCCCTTCACCTTTCCTCCCTTGCCACGGCCAGACATGATGATGAGTTGGTTGTTGTTGAAACTTGGAGAGAGAGAGATGTTCTCGGAGTGAGATATCAGCAGCTTGTGATGGACTTTGTTGGAATCGAGCTTGAATTTATACCATCTGGCTGAGTTGCGGAGCAGACCTCTTGAGTTCTGAGGAGCGAGCGGGCTTTCACTGCTTACTAACAGTCAATCCTCTTTCTCGCTCAGAACTCAGCCCTTCTCTATAAAACCTGCAACACGTAATGAAACAGTCATCACTCGCTGTCTCACCTTTCTCTTGAGAACAACTCAATCTACAAACCAAGAATAACAATGGCTCGTACGAAGCAAACGGCTCGTAAATCTACTGGAGGGAAAGCCCCCCGCAAGCAGCTCGCCACCAAGGCTGCCAGGAAGAGCGCCCCTGCGACCGGAGGTGTCAAGAAACCCCATCGTTACAGGCCCGGAACCGTCGCCCTCCGAGAAATCCGTCGTTACCAGAAGAGCACGGAACTTCTCATCCGCAAGCTCCCCTTCCAACGACTCGTGAGAGAAATCGCCCAGGATTTCAAGACGGATCTCCGATTCCAATCCTCTGCTGTCATGGCTTTGCAGGAGGCGTCCGAGGCCTACTTGGTTGGTCTCTTTGAGGACACCAACTTGTGCGCCATCCACGCCAAGCGAGTCACCATCATGCCCAAGGACATCCAACTTGCTCGCCGAATCCGTGGAGAACGTGCCTAAACAGTCGTCACACAAAATAAACACCACAACCCAACGGCCCTTTTAAGGGCCACCAATTTCTCCAAAGAGCAATTTTTGAACTCGCTGTTCCATGACTATGAGAAATGATTATCTAATCTTTTAAGTGCAAAACAGGCGACTATTTCTATTTAAAACTAATTTCGCAGGAATGACAAGTAACAAAGCCTGGCTAATTAAATGGGGCCAGTCTCTATTAGTCAAATAAAGCATAAGACTTCCAATCCAACGGCAGGGCTACCACTTTCTACAAAGAGCACTGGTTTATTATACATACAACAGGGATTCCACATTATCGGTTTTATCCGTTGACAAAAATATTACGATACACCAACGGCTTAGCATAAGAAAAGAACGTGAAAAAAAATCAATCAGAATCAAAATGCTCAATTATTTCTTGGTGTTGACTGCCGGATGTCAATACGAGAATACGATGATCTATGTTTCGTCTTTTGTTTCTGCATTACAAATCAAGGTCCTTGCGTCCAAATGCGTGGTTGCAATCTAATCACAACACTTCCATCTTTATCTCATGACTTAGAGGGGGCCAGATTGCTGCTGAACTGTTGTCCAGTTCAAGCTTGACCGAATCCCCCGTTTCTTTCGCTGGGAATAACTTTATTGAGTGACTAGGAGGAATTTCGCTACTACTCGTAGCGGAATGCATAGCCGATGATGATGACGCTGTTTGATTGTGTATGCGTAGCAAGTGCATTTTATATCCATGACGTGTGGCGTAGGTTTTTAAGCAAAACCCACAGGTCAGGGTGACATTATTTCTCTCTTCCGATTGAATGACTCGACTAAAAATGGAAAGAAACTGATTGGAAAGTTGTCCTTTTTTTAGTTCCTCAGGCTTCTCTACTACTTCGTTCTCATTCATCCTGGTTAACTTAATTGAACATTCTTTCAACTTCAATTTTACACTCCACGAGCTCTTCTTTTTCATTTTGATAATTGATCTGCAAAGAAAATGTTTTGTCATTTCTCTTATCAATACATTTGAGTTATATATTTTGTTAAAGCTCATACCCCATAGATAATGGATTTTCTAGTGTAACAACGTTATTATAAATATGCTGGTGAACTTGTCGATAATGATTTATCAATTGGTATTCTGTTTTCATTAATGTTTCACACTGACTACACTGATAATAATAATTAGAAGCAGAAATTGATTTATCGCACTTTTTTCCATTGCTGCATTTGCTTATTTTGTTACTGCGATCTTTCGAAACAAAGAAAGTGCCGACGAGCACATCAGCCTTACTACATTTGGGAGATGTTTTCACATGGATGACACACGTCTTCTTCTGGTACGATGTGAAAAGACACACTGAACATTGGAATTGTTTGAAATAGTTTTTGAGATGGTTCTTTAAACAATCTACGGTAAAAACTTGGGAACAAAATACACATTTGACTCGTCTATTATTGATACGTTTCGATGTTTTGGGAAGCTTGCCACCATTATCCAGAGATACAACTTTTACAGTTTTATTTGGCTTTGCTGGTATATTGGCCAATGAGGATTTAGTGTCTGGAGAAGAGAGAGAGAGGATGGACATTATTGTGAGATTTGGAGGACAAATGTCAGTTGAGGGGATGATTGATTCATTCTGTTCTTTGTTGTTAGTAGTAGTTTTAAAGTCTTTTGCTATTCTAGGTTTTGTGTCATTTTGTGTCCCCATCATCGACATTGGCATTTTTTGGAACGGTTTTTTATTATTTCTTTCTCCCAAATTCAAACTGTCAGTTATCATTTTGAAGGCATTTTGCACACGGTCAGAATCAGTTTTGTCGACCTGTCTCAGCACAGGTGCACAACGAACTTTCTTAATGTTCACAGATTTTTTCTTTTGTATGCAGCCAACAGGTCTTTCATTGCACTTCCGTTTTCTAGCAAGCTTCTCATGTTCCAAATCCCAATCTAAATCGCTGCTACTTTCTGAATCGATTGACGACGTCCCGACATCAAACTCACCATCAGAATCATTTTCAGATTGTGGTTCAGATTTCATGTAGTTTCCAAGAAGGGATGGCCAGTAATTTGTGGTTTCTGAAGGAAACAAGCATGTGATGTCATTTTTAATTAAGCTCGCAGATACAATATTCTAGTATATAAATACTGATTATCAACTGTCATTTTTAATTCTCAGTCATCATAAATCAACTTTCTAACCGTCGTTGTAGTCATCAGCTTCTTCCTTGACGTCCAAACATTGATGGGATGATCCTTCGTCCATGGTGTTAGCGACTTCATCTGCACTGCCCACCGGGTAATCCAGAAAATGGACAAATGGAAAATCTACAGAGTCATATAGTAATTCCTGCTCTTCATATTGCTCCACTTTCTCCACTTTCATAATTGAACAAAAGGTGAGATTAGTCCCATTTGCGTCTCTTTCTTGCCGATTGTTATCTGCACCCTCCATAGTTGTATGAATACCGAATACAAGATGCGCCTAGAAATTAACTAATTGTAGTTCCTATGCACATAACACTAATATGAACCTTGCAGATTGTAGGTAGACAGAAAATAAATGTCAACTTTCCACTATTATTTTGTCACACGACGGTCAATTAATACCACAAAGCGTTAGAATTTCCAGCATGTTTTACTGGCGTTTCAACTTCTGAATATTTAAATTTCAAATAATAACTTAATATTGTTGTAATTTTTCAATATTGAATTTTCAGTTCCCCATTCCCTGAAAAACACAGTCTTGCTAGAGTAGAGATTTCTGGCGGTGTGTGTGTGGGGCACTGCTTTCTAATCGTATGGGATCATAGAGAGAGATACACCTGTGTATGGAACGCAACATAGTCAGGAGAAATGCATGGAAAATCTAATGCAAAAGTGCTGGGGCTGTTATTATTGAATCTGTGGACTTTTTACGCAAAATTTCTTGTCGATTAGTATCGTCATAAACAGAATATTAGGGCTCCTGCATTAATTGACAGTTGTTAATTAATTAATAGTGGCTGTGCACTACCTACGTACATTACCCTGACCGAGGCTCATGGAATTGTCATGTCCGCCTGCTGACAATCTCGTGAAGCTAAGCCCGACTTATTTTGACCAACTTAAAATGCGTTTGACTGCAAGGGCTTGCCTTGGATAAGTTCGAAGATGAATCTAATCGGTCTTGTGGTTGGTGGGTGTAAATATCACCGAGTTTTATAAAGTGGCGTGGAACCTGAAGGCGTCCGGACATATCAGAGTAAATTTGTAGATTTTTTAGATGCACCCAACTTAATATACAGAATGCATGAACCCAACACCAAAATTGTTTCAAGGTTAATATATTGGGAGATTGATATCCAATAAAATGCCACGTCTAGAAATATTGAGGCTTAAGTTGCCCTACAGGTTTTTAGCCCGAGTCAGGGCTTATGGAACCATCATGTCCGTCCGTCCGTCCGTCCGTCTGTCCGTCTTACGATAACTCTCGTTAAACTCATCCTATCGACTTGAAATTTGCTACACATGTAGTATGGGGCAAATGAGGAGTTAAGTTCGAAGATGGGCGAAATCGGTCAAGTGGTTGACCAGTGGGGGTCATATAGGTGGATGGGGTATTATGCATCAAAATTTCAAAATTGTCATAGAAGGCAGAAATTTGGCACTGAGGTTGCTAATGGTGTCTAATGAAAGAGTATGAATTTAAGTTGGAAAAAATTTTATTTTGAAAGACCCTAGGGGGTGACCCATACTGATTTGTCAAAATCGTCATATCGAGTTGAAATTTGGTAGATAGGTTGCGTATGGGGTTTAAGGAAGAACATTAAATGAAATTGGTCAAATTTTTTATCTGGAGGGACCCGAGGGGGTGACCCATATCGATTTTTGAAAATCATTTAATTGAGCTGAAATTTACCATTGACGTTTCTAATAGCTCCTAATGAAATAATATGAAGTTAAATTAGTAAAATTTTTATGTGGAGCGATCCTAGGGGGTGGCCCATACCGATTTTTATAAATTGTCTTAAAAAGATGAAATTCGGTATGGTGATACTTAATGGTCTCGTATGGAAGTATATCAAGTTAAAAGCGAACAAAGTGGAACCAGAGTAGCCTAGGGGGTGACCCATACCGTTTCTAAAAGTAGCTATTTTAAAAATTGGTAACTGATATTCGAGAAATTGGTCATACTTGAATTGGCGAGATGAGAAGAAATAAAATTAAAGTGAAAGCTATTCATTGCGTTTTCTATACAGTTCAAAAAGGCACGCAAAAAGGCAAATAGGCAAATAGGAACAAATAGCAACAAGGCTGACTTTTTGCACACACTGGTCACCCCCATTGGTTTGGAAAACGGGCGTAGACGACTATAAGTTGGCGTGGTCCTGCAGGGTTAGATTAGCTTAATAAATGTAAAGTAAACTTTAAGATTTTTTTGCCAGGAGGACCCAGTGGGGTTTTTGGAATTGGTTAAAGAAGCTGCAATTTTGCAGCGACGATTGCGAATAATTCGCAATCGACAAAAATTTCCCCATAATGACCGGTACCAACTACTATTAGTAGTTGGTTTGTACCGGTCACTTGACAAACATTTGGAAGAGGACTCTGTCCCTGACTCGGGCTATATAAACACTGCACACTGTAGGTTTTTAAAAATAAAATTACACTTGTGCTTACAAATATTTAAAATAAATAACTCTAATTTTGCTGGGGACTAATTTTATTTCATCAAAATGCACCTGAAGCACAGACTTCTAGATTATCCAGAAGTTAATTGGTTTATTTTTACAGGACTTAGGTACAAATGCAAACAAAAGAGGTTCGTCAATTCTCATACAGAAACATTGTTTTAAAATCGCAACGCGTGTGTGAACGTGTTCTAGATTTATGCTTCACATATGTGCAAGCAGTGCATGAGACAGATAAATACTAAATTGCTTTATATTTTGTTAGAAATTAATATGGCTACTCAAGATCGTGAGCGAGTTTGAAATATATTTTTAAAATCATTCAATTTCACCCGAGGTTTGTTTTTCTTTCGAATTGGACAACTGTACAACGTTTACGGAGGAGATGGAAGGAATGTTTCTGAAAGTGAAGGTGTGTCCTTTGTGAATATTATCGTCCACCATCGTAATTGTACAACACTTGGACTTGTATGTGGGAATGGAAAAACTTGAAGAGATTGAAGTTTGTCTTGCTTGCTGTTGACCACAGCATGACGCGTTCTCTTGACATCTAACGACAAGCGCTGTAAAAATGGATGATAATTCTTAAATAATGCTGAATATTGGTCATTAACACTAAATAATACCTTTAAATCGAGGAAATTTTTCTTGTAGCTGCCGGAAAGTTTTGACATTGCCCACATACACGATCGAGATGAAAATTCCTTGCATGAAGTAAATTACTCGAAATATTTGCCATTCCAATCCCTGCTGGGTGTTGATGTTACCAGCCTTCAGCAGATCTTGAAGAGCGATGTAGCTCCAACTCAGTCCCACGACGATAAAGAGTTTGAGGAAAATGAGAAATCTAAATAAATAAAGTCCAAATTGTCAATAAAATATATTTCGCTTGATCATTCATTATCCAACATATTTGTATTGCGTACGACTGATAACTTTTTTCTCTCCTCTCGGCAAGAGTTTTTTGCACTGCGCATCGGTGTTTCATAATTAGCAGAATTATGACCAGAAACATAAGAAGGTGGATGATGCAGTTGGAAAATACAAATATTTCCCAAACGTTCCAGCTTGGAACACGACAATGTCGGCGTCCATAATCGGGCACCCGAACCCAGAGGCTACCATCTGAATAGCTCGAGCCAAAAATCTCTTCACTAAAAAGATGATAACCATTAAAAATATATAAACATCGATTATCATCCCTATTATTAAAGTCTAACTGATTTCGCATGTTCAGAACAACTCCGTAGCACACCATTCCGAGTGGGAAGGTCCACCCAAGCATGGAGTAAATGACGAACCTTTTCCTGTGCTTTCCAGTATCAATCACATACTCAAACTTCCTGTATTGATTAGAAAATATAGGTTAACAAATAATTACAAATGTCCAGTAAATCGAGCCCTACCAGAGATTCCATAAAATGTCAAACCCAATTATAAGCAGCCACGTTTTCGACGCAATAAAGAAATATTGGTTTGCCACGGCTGTGTAAATCCGCATATTTATTATGTTATCAAGTTCAACAATTAAAATTAAAAGGTGCAGTTAAATGAATACCTAAGGCAAAGCAGGAGGAATTAGCTTGAAATCCATCAGCAATTCCTGGGCAAAGTGCGGGTATAAAAACAATGTTGAACAGGAGAAATGCAACGAGATATGAGAATTGCGTCCACCCGTGCAAATTTTGTCGCTCTGATAAAATAATGTACAGAGTAACAGCGATCCCCAGGAACACGGTGGACAAGACGATTAAGGTTACAAATAACTTCCAGTTTTCCTATAAAAAGGCACACACTTGTATGTAAATTTATTTACCTATACTTAAATAAAAACATGGTGAAACTGAGGTCATTTTATTTTCTCACATTAGTAATGGGAACTTGGGGATCAAATCCGGTAATACTGTTTTCCGAATGCCGTGATGTCAACAAGTTTTCAGTGAAATTCATTTCGCTTACTATTTTCCTTGTGCGTAAACGTCAACTACCAGCAAAAATGAGAATCACTTTGTAGCACTCGTAGCAGCCCTTTATGCAAAACTTGCAAAACGTTCGTATTGTTTAAGTTTAAGTTTTGTCAACTGCAAAACGTGATGAGCTATTAAGATGATACACACACGCTCAAAAGACGAGAATGGAATGAGAATGAGAACACATATTCCAGGCTCACATGCATTACTCACCTGAAAGATTCGCTTGTTTGCACATCATAAACTCTAATGAACCAAAGTTCGACTTGCAACTTGTGAAGATTGAAACACTTAAGAAATCCTTTAGAAAGCTCGACATTGCAGCGCATGGCAAGTTTCGTTGTTCAAAATATATCAAATATTTTGTTTTATTTATATCTATTCCTGGAGGTGGAGGACGTTACATGTCCAATGTTAATTTCCCTGCGTCCTCTGCACTACTCCTGCTAAACATTACTGATGGATGAGTGACCATTGTGTTGCGAAATACACTACAATTCTCCATAAATGTTATTGCATATGCCATTGTCCAACTGGCAGTGAGCACAACAGACGCTTATGTTTTTTACTGGATGTGGCCTTTTGTTTTGTTTGTTTACCACTTTGCTTCATTATTTATTGCTATCATAGTGTAAACGTTAGCTTAAGCGATGGCTTGGATGAGATCAATGTCAACATACTCAAATATTTCCTAACCTCGTGACAAAAGAACCGATATACATAAACTCGGATGAAAGAATGCTCAATATTTGATGGCCAACTGGGAATTTCTAGATACAGAAATTGGACGAAAGCACCGAGAGCAAAAAGTGTGATTAAATATATATCCTGTCTTGTAATAAACATAGGATTAGATGAGGTCTAATTGGACGTTGTTCATTTCGCGTGGAGACATCACGGGGTATGGCTTTATACTTTATTGTGCGACTACTCCATCCATCCTCTGGAAATGCGGAAATTGTGTATGTACATAGACCTGTAATTTAGAGTAAATAGTGCAATCCGCCGTGGGATTACGCTATTCTGCGACTCGTATTTAGCCTTTTGTCACGAACAGTCAACACCAACGAACTTGCGATTACCACAAGATGTGCACCAAACCTTGTTTTGTTTGAGTGCATCTGTTTTTCTACACACAATCCCATTCAACAGATTCCAGATTTCCTAGAAGTGAGTTGAAATCATATCCTTGAAATGTCACAAGCTTCAAACTGCATTTGCATGAAACGTTTTCTGAATATTATACACATTGGATATTGGGGTACAATATAATCCATTAGTTTAATCAAATTATGAACAAAATGTATGCATACAGACACATAAATACATTTACCTGCTTTGCATTCCCATAATTTTTCGCGACACTTTCTTCCAATATATCTGTCTTGGTGGTTCTCATAACTTTTCATAACGAATTGCAACAAATTTTTTCCAACTGGATTCTTATTTATTGTGCTAAATTTCACTAGAATTTTCGTGTATATGCATTATCAATTAAGTAAATCAGGTTGTTTAAACATCATCTTCGGGAACGGCGGGAGGGTCCAAGTGTTGAACGTGGAAGACAATGGAGGAGGCGAAGGGGTCTGGCGTGGACATGTCGACCGTGTCGGAGATGGCGAGCATGGGGACGCTGCTCCAGTCGAAGGCGTCCCTCTTGAACTCGTCCGTCAGTTCCACAGAAATCCCATTTCGAAAATATTCCCCATGGGTTTGAAAGTATTTTTCTGAGAAGCTAAACCCATGAGTTCCAGCCACACTCGTGCACCACAAGGAAATCATGTCCCAATCAATGCTTATCGTTGAGCAAGTGACGAACATCAAACTCTTGAGATTTGGAAGTTGTAAGAGAGCTTTAAACACATCCAGATTAACTTTGTCTTCCTCTGCATTGTTAAATTCAGCAATTCTTCCCAAGTGCGTAAATTTCAGGGACTCTAACCCCACCAGAGTTTCTGCAACGGCTGTAATTTCGTACTTGGGCACGGGACCGAAAACGTGCAAGTTTTTGAGTTGCAGAGGAAGCATGGCCAAGTTGACTTTATTACTGTGGGATATTTCGATAGAAAGGTTTCTTAGGAGTGAACATGTCTGGAAAACGGCACAGTCCCAAATTTGCCCAAAGCTCAGCCCCCCGATTGTGAATGACTCGAGGCACGAAGCGTTGGTCATGACTGCACCTTGAATTTCGTTCCATCGACTAACGTTACAACTCCCAAGATTCATGATTTTCAACCCGTTCTGCTCTCGTAGGATGGGACTCCATTCTTCTCGGAAATAGGGATGAATTTCTAAGTGCTCCAACTGTGGAGGAAATTCGTCCTTTTCTGGATACTGGAATTTCAAAATGGTGGGCATATTGGGTCTTCCGATCAAAAATTTCCGCAGCGTTGGTCGCAGTTTCACGAGCAGTTTGACCAACGGGTGAGTCGTGGCTGGGTTAATGTTCCTTTGGAACATGACTTGATACGGAATTACAGGAGGATTCTGGACATTGATGATGACATCCTTGAGCCGCTTAAAGGATACTTTATCATGTAGAAAGTTCATAATTTCTACAACTCCCTCGGTGAACGTAAAGCACTTAATTTCCAGTGATTCCAGAGAGTCCAAGGGGATGTTGGTGCTGTCCTTTCCGAATTGCGACCATGGGTCGTTTATGGGAAGATCAAGAATGACATTGGTGAAACCCAGGTGCGTAATGTTGGCGCATGCGTTGAGGAAGGAGACCAGATTGTATGTGACCACGATATTGGTCAACATCAGCTTGCGAACAGTTTGAGCAAAAGCGATCCCGCTTTCAAACGGCTGCGTCATGCTGTTCAACTCTACTTCTACTGCGTGAGGACAGACTTTCACCAAGTCGCTGGTCGAGTTCTTTACGCGTATTTTCATGCCAAAAACAATATCCACGACATTTTGCCATTTCCGACAAACCGTGCGAAGTTTTTGTCTTTCTTCTTGACTCAGGAATGAAAAAATCTTGACAAGTTCCTGTTAAGTTTAGATGAAACTTATTACAAATTGCAAAATGCTTACAAATTGCTGAATCAGATTTGAATCATGTCTAATGAAAAATTTTGGCCCAAAAAGTTTGGGTTATGTGGATAATAAATACCTCACTGATCAAATTATTCAGCCCAATACAGTTTTCGGGATTATTTTCCGAGGCAAGTTGATCATCCTGAGTTTCAAATGTTACAACTTCAAGATCATTAACCAGAATTACTGGAGGGTCAGTGTAGCCTGACGAATCTTGCTCCGCATTATGATCATTACTGAAAGCCATAGTTTGTTCAATCCGATTCAGAATAGTTTTAATTTTGTGGCTTATACAGTGCCCTACAAATTTTATGAAACCTTGCTTAGATTTCCAATTGACAGTCTAAAGTCTCCTTGAACCAGAACAATTACTATGGTGGCCATGTCTTATCAAAAGGAATAACAATTGAAGAACAATTTTCTTTTGAAACGGTCATATGCGGCCGCCGACTGTCTTACAATCTAGCAGTCGAACCACTTTTGTTCAAGGGTGTCAAAGGCGTTCAGGCAGGGTCCACTTAAATTGAAGTTATTTACATGAAGTGGGTGATCTACACTGATTGATCGAAAATATTAAAACTCTGCATGCTGAAAACATGAACAATTGATGCACAATAGAAATATGCCTGTAAAACATTAGTCAGGGAGTCCCAAGATAGTAACACACGCTGTGTGACAAATTGTCACTGAAAATCTATCGGAGAAAGTAACTAGCTCTAGATATACCTACAGTTTTTAAAATATTCGCAGAATTTACGGATGCTTTAAACATTTTACATGATGTTTTGGGAAGTCGGTCTGACCCATTTTTTCTTTTTTTTTGGAAGCAATAAGTTGAGAATTCTGTAAAATTCAAAGCGTAATGTGTGTGTGACAATGTATTATGCATATAGAAGTAATAGATGCATATAAAAATAATGTACATAATGCATAATCTCAATAAGTGATCGAGTTTATTACATATACAAACCGTTTTCGACTATAATTTTAGCACTGTTAGTTAGACCCATGCATATATGTAAATATATATTCTTATTTGGCTATGTAATGACCGTAGGCGTATCTACCCCGACGACAGCTTGTAATCGACTAATGGCTAAACTAGCTTTCACCAAATCATCCAGCACAACCTGAAAGGACAAAATAATTTCCTTTATAACTTTACTGGGTTAAATAATTAAGAAACACAAATTTGAATACCAAAGCGTCTCCAGTAACATGTTCATCATCACATTTTTCCAAGTAGACTCGAATTGTAGCACCGCTTGAACCTGTTCCACTCAATCGCCACACCATCCTTCCAAAGCCATTTGCAAACATTATTCTTAAACCTTGACCTTTTGCAACTGACCCATCAATTAGATCTGTAAACTCGAAATTGTCGGTTGCGTCCACTTTATATTTCTCCAAACTTGGATCTTTGATTGATGACGTTTTGACGGCATCAATAATTTCTTTAGTCAATTGCTCCTTTGGCGTTGACATAATTTTCTTCTCCAACTCCCCAATCATCTGGTTTGCCTTTGTCCCATCCACATTTTCATAATCCAACCGGAGAAAGTAGTTGCGACCAAATTCCTTCCAATGATTTTCTAAAAGATCCTTAACTGACGTTTTCTTTGAAGCCAGAACTGTTAAAAATGCAAGAGATGCCCAAATCCCGTCCTTTTCACGAATATGGTCAGACCCAGTTCTACAAGAAATCCGTGGTTTGTTTAAAATGAGAATACAGTTGACATTTAAAAATGGAATTGTAAATTTAAGGTACCCAAAACTTTCTTCACCACAGAGCGACAGTTGTCCAGCATCCATTAGATTTCCAAAATATTTCCATCCGGTTGGAACTTCGTACACGGTGAATCCAAGCTTTTTTCCCACCCGGTCCACCTTTATAGATTAATCAGAAAACTCATACATACGTTGAGTTATGGACTCCTTTGTTGTTGATAACTCTAATAGCATACCGCTCCACTTGTCGGCATAGATCTAGCCAAACCTTTGATCCCATTGGGTTTGTTAAAGTATGGGATAGCATTCAAGTTGGCTGCCAGCACAGCCAGGGAATCACTCGGCGTAACAAAAAATCCTCCAGCACCTGAAACAAATCAGGAACATTTTAATTTGTCGTCACTTATAAATCCACTGATCGTTCGTGAGTGGTTTGCGTGCCTTCTATAGTGTGCGTATTTATAAGCACGTACATGTGAGTAGTTATTACGCAAGTTCTACATTACTCACCCAGAAGCATATTTCGATCACCGTCCCCGTCGTAGGCAGCACCAAATCCATACTTGGTTGGATTGTCTTTAAGGATTTTGACCAAGTCGGCTGCATATGTTTGGTTAGGGTCTGGATGATGACCTCCAAAATCGGGGAGTGGCACAGTGTTGAGGTATAGAGAATTTGGATTGGGAGTAGTTTGGGCCAGTTCTTGTTGAAAAATCCTTTTAACATAGGGTCCAGTCACTAAACAAATTTGTGTTTACCGTAATTTGGATAAGAACTCGCAAACCCAATCTGCTTAAGGTTACATATCCTTAAACAAGTTCCGCTTACCACCATGCATTGCATTGATGACGACTGGAAACGATGAGAGAAAATCTCTGAGCAAATTAAAATCAAAAATCTCCTTCATTAGTTGAACGTAATCTTCAACAGAGTCAATAACATCGACACGAACTGGGCCAATGGTGTCCACCTAAATTCACGCACAAATTCAATTTTATTAGCAAAGAATGCATACAACTTTTGTATGTTCATTGTTGTCACCTCGAATTCGGTGACTCCCACATTCGCGAGGTCTATCGTGGGGACATCTTGACAAATTTTGTACTCGCCAAGTTGCTTGCTAATCTCGTAAATATTATTGGTAACAGCGTCTGGAGCAGGGCCTCCGTTCGGGATGTTAAATTTGATGCCAAAATCCCCATCAGGACCACCAGGATTATGGCTCGCAGTAAGAATTATACCTCCAAGACAATTGGGGGCCCTTCGACGAATAAGGTTTGACACGGCTGGAGTGGATAAGATTGAGTGCTGCCCAATGGTCAAATTTGTCACCTAAATATCCACAAAATAATGGGCATAAAAATATTGTATGACATGTTGCATAAGTGAAAGTGGACAGCAAGTTAGCAAAATAAGCAACATCATGATGTCGACGGAGATTTTACCCCATTGGCGATGGCGATTCGCACGATGAGGTCCACAGCTTCGGGGCCATAAAATCGCCCATCCCCACCCACAATCAACACCTTCCCCTTCCTCTCCAATGGCAATGCAGAAATGATGGACTGCACAAAGTTGGCAGTGTAATTTTCCTTCTCCTGGAGTTAAATTACTAATAAATTATTAATCCTTAAGGTACCACAAGAGGTTGAATATTTCAATTTTTTCTGGACTTAGCAACATGATTTTTTAGAGAAAATGAGTCAAGACATGAAGTACGGCTCCGCATAACAACAAGGGCATTGGGGCATTTTTAAGAGCTCCCCGAGATGGAGGGGATGGACTTTAAGGTCATAATGGTTGTTATTTGGAATCATTATATATTTCTGCAGGGTGTATAATCGGTTTGTGGGCTCATTTGTGTCTGGTAAAGAGATGTGAACCATTTTTGTCCTCAGAAACATAAAATAATATGGAGGGGCAAGTATAGAAATGCTATTTCGAAAAGTATGGAAGACAATATGGAAATGAGACCCATTATGCTCCCCAAGTAAAACTATTTCGCACGATGTGGGAGTCGTCCCACGTTTGTGCTCCGTATGGTTTGTGCTCCGTATGACGCTAGGACGTTTTAAAAAAAATTCATCATGGTCGACTATTTTGGATATAAATACGTAAGTATAAGTAACAGCAGAAGGGGACATTTACCAAAATTTAGAGTAGTAATTTTTTTACAAAATTTGTATTTGAACCAAATTTCTACCTACTATAATTTCTGAGAAAATTACAATCAAACTGAGTGGTATAATTCCTTGCCAACTCTCTTGTGGTACCTTAATTTTCTTAAACTTCTTAATTTGAGTAAAAAAAACTACCAAGAAAATTTTCGTGGGTTTTCGTAATCCCGAAGTCCCTGGCTTTTGGTCTTGATATGCAGCCGTCTTTACGACGGTAGGGGCAGAGTATTTCACCATTTCGAAATAATTTGCTCAAAATAATAGCTCAATGTTTCTTAACTATGAAGGAAGGCTTAATTTGATTGATGCAAAAGTGTTAATCGCTGCGCTATGCTGATTCAGAGAGCTGATTGCTGAGATTGCATATATGTAGAGAACTGATACAAAATACATGCAATAGGATTGGAGACCCAATTTTGAGTATGTAAAGTTAGGTTAACTCCTTAATTATGTATATATCACGTGGCTGCAGTAGTAATAACAACACTAACTTAACACCCTGTAGATAAGCTGCTTGAACTTTAATTCCGTGTTATATTAAGGATGACCTTCACTCTGTAGAATAACAACCACAGACCGGGTGTATTTGGCGGGTGTAAGTGTATATTGCTTTTCATATACCGAAACCTATAACGAATATGCCCGAAACCATTTGCATTGTGATCTGAAGTTGTGTTAACCAACATGCAAAAAAGGGTTGGAAACAAAGCATATTGTGGGCAAAATGCACGATGGATGTGTAATCGTGTATATGCAATGTGATTTTACAAGATAATATACCTACATCAACTTGTATCATTTTCCATTTGATGAAACTAACGAATTCTACTAAATAAATATACTAGAGTGCATACAACGTTATGAATTCGGTGACTCCAGGGTATTTGTACCGCATGCCATTATGAAATCATAACATTTTGTATCCATTGTCTTATATCTGATATTATTTGTAATGCTGATAAGCTGATGATAAAATGATGGCATGACACGATTAAAAGATAACTTGAAAATTAAATAGTTATGGACCTCCCAACTATCACACACGATCAATAATTGTAAATTAAAGGAACGAATTGAGTTTAAAAATCTGTGGCCTCCATAGTTGTACAGTCATCATAGTGTACACACTTTCCTGCAAAATGTCTAAAATTCCTCATGTGCTCTCCCTGGCTTTGGTCTATGCAATTTTTTGTGCTTCGAGCATATCAGGACAAGGTATACAAAAGTGCTTATTATTGCATGTTAAAAATCCAGTATTTTTTATTTTCTATGTTTTAATTTTGCATTCCTTTTCAGATGAAAGTTGGCAGCTTGGACCATTTGTGAAACAAGATGCGGTGAATCCAATAATGGGTCCCTTAAACTATACCACATTCTTCTGCCCTATTCGACAAGAAGCCGTGAATTGGGAAAAGAAGGACATTTTCAATCCTGGAGCTATTCTTAAGGATGGAAAAGTCCACATATTGTACCGTGCAGGTATTTAGTTATTGGCGTTTTTAACCAACCATAGGCTACGATAATTATTCAACCCAGCGAAAACTGTTTAAAATGTTATTGAACAAGTTAAATAACTTTCAAAAAATATTTACATGATTATCGATTTTCGTACCGTTTGTTTTGAATATCATAAGTATTTTGCATTTACAAAAGTTGCATGGCTTCTTTTCGTCTTCAGAGGACGACGTGGGACTCTACAATGGAACTTCCCGTATTGGGTTGGCCATTAGCATGGATGGGGTGAATTTCCAGCGATACCCTCTGCCCGTGTTTTATCCACAAAATGATTCTTTCGCCATTCATGAGTGGGAGGGTGGTTGTGAGGACCCACGCATTGTGGAATTCAATTCAACATATGTCATGACTTACACGGGATATGATGGGGACTTGGCAAGATTGATGGTTGCAACTTCAACGGACTTGATAACCTGGACCAAACACGGTTCCGTCTTTGCTGAGGCCGAGGGTGGCCAATTTGTAGAAATGTGGTCTAAATCTGGCTCCATTGTGACACGGGTGATATGACGCAGCTATTATTTGTGCCGTAGATGTAGTGACCTTATAAATTTGTACTTTCTATTTGTCAAGGTCTCTGAAAAGGGAAAGCAAGAAGCCGTGCGGCTTAATGGAGTATTTTGGATGTACTGGGGAGAGACGAGCATCTTTGCAGCCACTTCGGATGATCTCGTCAACTGGATTCCTGTCACTGATCCAAACGGAACGGAAAACGAATTCAATCTCACGGCCATATTTGAACCACGTGAAGGGAAATTTGACAGCGATATTGTAGAACCTGGACCTCCAGCTATTCTTACAGAACGTGGAATCGTCTTTGTGTACAACAGTAGAAATCTGGATCCCTTATCGGGAGGTGACTCCAATTTACCAAGGGGGACATACTCTGCCGGGCAAGTGCTACTCAATGCAACCAATCCCATTCAAGTGCTCAGCCGGTTGGAAAACTACTTTTTTACTCCGGAGAAAGATTACGAGGTTATCGGACAGGTCAACAACGTTGTGTTTCTCCAAGGCCTGGTCTCATTCAATGGCTCGTGGTACCTCTACTATGGGACGGCAGACTCGAAAATTGCATTGGCCATTATTGAATAAACCAGAATAAATCATCACAAAAATAATCATCTTGGAACCTTTATCTTCACTTTTTGGTCTTTCTCGCTACAATCTGGGATACAATCTATAATCAATCTATAATCGCTACGATCTATAATCATTAACTTACAGCTATATTTCATGAAAGAATATGTTGATACAAATAACGCATGCATTTTACATAGATATGTAAAATGACAAATGATAAATTATTCTCTAAATTCGCTTAAAAATGAACGCTGTGATATTTTTGTTAAGCGTTCCATATCATATTTTTTTACCATTAAGTAACCTAAAAATGTCATATCCATTGTAATTATTGTAACCAATTGTTGAGAGTGTGGAGACACTCCCAGAAATCATTTGACAAGGGTTGCTCCTGAGATCTTGGCAGATTTGCAGAAGACATGATGAACGCACAAACAGTGGGTCCAACTTGCTTCAACTTTAAGAATTGTCCTCGAGTGATTGTGGAAAACCAGGTCGAAATGGCGGAGCTGACGGTATTTATTTCAAGCGGGGTCAGTAAAATTGGCACTTTTGCTCCGTTAAGAATTGCCTCGAGTACAGGTTTGCATCGTCCCACAAACTTGTTGGCACAATTATAGTTGGATGCGGTCGAACCAGGTGGGGCCTGACCAACAACTGGGGGAGCTCTGTTTTGTGCAGTTGCATGAAATGAGGGATAAGTTTCAAATGGTCGCTGCATTGAAATGCGAAGCCTGCTTGACGGATCGACAACAACATTTCCTCTCGAAATTTCCAGTCCCAGATTCCAATCTTGTTCAAGTTGGACCTCTTGATTATTTCGAAACCTGTTCCCATTGTTTAAGATGGGTGGACAGAAATAGGGGGACGAATCACGAGTGCAGATTTGATATGGGTAATGTGCATTGGATATAAAAATATCGGGACCACCCACTTGGGCCTGATTTTGACTGATAAACCTGACCGGCGTGCCATAGCGATGTTGTTGGTTGTAGTTATTATCCTGTGACGTGGGCCCCTGGGGGTAGTTGTTCTCTTGGTATGGACCGTGGCGATTATAGTCGTGATAACTGGCACCAGGATACTGATGCCGTCGATCATTCAAAGCGTCCCCCGAGTTTTGGCAGTTGGTCGAATAAGAGGTGGCATGAGAATCTATTATCTCACGCTCCTGGTCATCCTCATTTGTATCGTTATCATTCTGGTTGTAATTATTGATATTCATGCTTTGGTTAGCATGATAGTTATTCATGCTTGTCGCTGCTGCTTCATTGCCCTTACTGGTAGAGGCTGCATTGCAAGTACTTTCTTGCTGTCTAGTATTTGGCACGATGACGGAGATGTATCCTTGTCTCGGGTCGTCTAACAGCTCGGGTAATCTAGCTTGTGACGGGGTCGACGATGTCCAATATTTATTAGTGCAATTGGTTTGAGAATTTAAGTTTGTAGAAGTCGTGGAGACTTTTGGGTTGTCGTTTTCCACACATTCTGATGCTCGACCTGATTGCGGGTGATTTTGAATCAAATTAATTAGATCTCCATTATTCTGTCCACCAGGTTTGATGGGTGGCATACAACTCATTTGTTCTTTGCTATTTCGTCGATGCGAAATTATAATATTTTCAAAGTTTTGGCCTGGTTCTGATTGTTGTTGTTGTGCACCAGTCTCAATTTGTACCTCCAGAGGCTGGTTCAGTGAGCAGGATTCCGAAGCCTTATTTTCCTCATTCTCGTTATTCTGGTCACCGCCTGCTGAAGGGGTGCGATGATTTTTCGTAATTTTGCGACCTCTTTTTGACTTCAGTTTTTCCTTCAAATCTACACTCCAAAGACCGTCCGGAATGTAAAAATGGTCACGTTCCATATGTTGTCGGAATCCTAGATTAATTTCAAGAACCACATCCACATGTGGACAAAACCCACACTTCTCGCCAAAAGGGTGAAAGGCTTTGTTGTGCTTCGCAAATGACCCTTTTCTAAAAGAAATCAACATGAAGCAGATCCAGCATTTGGATTTGCCGTGGGTTCGGAGACACAATGATGCCACACTCGGAAAGGAATAGCTCTTCATGCATACGTTACACTGGGACAACTTTTTTCGGTATTCGGTAATGTGTTGCTGCAATATTTCATTATCATTCGGCGTGTATGCATGGGGTCGCGGTGGGGAGTCAACAGGGCGGTGGGCTGTTTGTTGCCAAATTTGCAATGGTGGTGGGTGATTAGATGGTAATGGGTCATCAATTATGGGCTCGTGTGGATAGTGTAGTGTCACAGTTGCAGGTGGACGAATTTCCTCGTGATGTGTGCTATCCTTCGAGTTCTCAGCATATCTCATTCTTCCATCACTGGAACTCATTGCATGTCTATCTAACAAAGCTGTGCTCACTTGTTGCTCTTCAGGCAGAGTTTCTAGTCTTGTTTGCAAAGTCGTAGAATAGGGTCCACCAGTTGAATCCATATTTGGAGAAACTTGGTCAGGTTGAACCTGCGCCTCTTCTGCCTCGCCAACTTCAGACGGGGGAGGAGTATTGGCACTTGACTGTGGCGAAGAAACCTCCGAGATATTCGAGTATAATTCTCTTGACCTTGTCCATTCCAATCTCCAAAACTCTGCGGAACTCAGATCCTCCGGCTGTTCCTTTTGCACACTGATTTCAGAATCCTCGTCTGATAAAATATTTCTTATTGTGGGCATGTCCGGGCTTTTCCTTGCATTTTGATTTGTTGTTTTAGCCCAACGTTTTTTACGACGTCGTTTTCTTGTCATCCTTACAATTTTTATATTCTGATATTTGTGTTTGCTCTGACGAATTAATTTCAAAGCTCTGGCCACCGAGTTCTGGCGTGGTCTTGGGTGGACTAATTCCCCACCAAAGTTGTGAATGTGTAAATGTACTGCAGAATGTTCTCTGTCCCTCTGTTTACGGGATTTACGACACAGACGCTTGGTATACTTTTTAATAATTGGAATCTCATTTTCCCCATTGTCTGAATTCCTGCACTCCGTTCCTGCCGCAGGTATCACTTCTTCATGATCTATTGTCTGAGATATGAAATCTGAATCACTCCAGGACGAGAGTTTATTTCCATCATTGCCTTGTAAACCCTTCATTGTTCCCAAGTCCAAACTATTTAAAGTCTCGGCCCACCCAACCCCGGCAGAATTAGAATTATGCACGGTGGATAATAATTCAAGTTGAGGGTGAATATGTTCAAGAGTTATTAGGTCTGAATCCACGTGCTCCGAATTGATATCTCGCAGGACAGCTATTTGTGTACCATTTTGATGCTCGGGAGAAAGTAGACTGTCCAAAAATGTGTTCACCTTTTCCCCAATGGACGACGACCCGTGTTCCTCTGATGTGAGTGAATTTGAAGAGATGTCATTTCCCACCACGCTGTCCTCCGTTAATGCAGATTCAACGACCCCTATTACCTCCCAACCTTCCGGTAATTCGAAGAAAGTGCTTTGATCATCCAAATCCCAAATCTCATTCGTGTGCAGAGTTACTTCGGGTTGTTGTGTGGGATCAATCAGTTGTACAGAGCCAGAAGGTGGCATCATTTCCTTTGCTTCCGTCCCAATGTCCTCCGAGGAGTCTTCTTTTGGCACAAATCCACTTTTGATGGGGGATATAGCATTGTCATCACTCAGAAAAGTGCAGGGCGGGTCATTTGATGACAAATTAGTCTGGTCTGACATCTTGATTTCCGTTTCTTCTCCAGCTAACACGTCGTCATTGACGCCTGCCTGATGAGTATCTTCTGATTCTTTACTACCTTCGTCCAGCATGTCAGTGGTGGTTGAGCAGGTGCCTGTTGAATCGTTATTCGTGGTGGTGTCCAATTGCGGAGAGGAGCGAATTGGGCCATCTTTGTGCAATGATAAACTTGATGAACGAGATTTTCGAGATATATTTTCATAAATAATTTCTATGCTATCTGAATCAGAGTCGCTGTTGTACGGATCAGTGCCAACATTTCGGACAAGGAAATCTTGGTATTCATCGCAGTCTTCTAGCACCACTGGATATGAAATTTCATGGTCAGTGTCAAGTGGAGAAGAAGGAGACGATTGCAGCTCGGTCGGTGACATTGGGGGTGTGCCAGTTCCCTATATTTTAAGCCACTGTTAACAATAATTTCCATAATCCAGTCGCAATTATGCATATTTCAATTACCGGGGAATTCAGTTTTTCAGAGCAGGCAGCAGGTGGTGCAAAATTTCGGGGTGAATCATTTATGGTGGTCTCATTGCTCGCGTTTTCTGTTTGTATACGACATAGTCTAGTATAAAAAATAATACATGTGGAAATAGTTTTTGATACAATACACATACCTGTGGCAGTGGGACGAGTCGTTAGTGGGGCATCACGTTCCATGATTGAATCTTTGCAAGGGCTAGGTTTTCCTTCGTTGAAAAAAATATGAGACTTTCAATTATCATAGAATAACATTTTTATGAATTTATTTAGAGTCAAGCAAAGGTGATTTTTTTAACTGACTGTTGGCTTACTTTTGTTAGGTGTGTGCAACTTTTGCGTTGGGATTTTTTTTACTTTTGTCCTCCTCTTTCTCATTTCCACATCTCAGTCATCACTGCCCATATTTTATAAGCAAAAAGACTTGTAACTTTCCAACTTTGCATTATGATTATGTACACGATATGTGAACAGTTATCGAGTTACCTATCTGACAAAAGTCAATGAGATGTATTGAGAATCTTTCTCAGATTCTGTGAAATTTCCAAATGTTTGAAAGTATACGTCTACATCTAAGGAGGGGAGCTTGCGAGGTTGATAATAACAGATCTTGATGCCCTTTGCATATGTGGTAGGGTCTCATGAGTGTACTAAAACCCTGAAGTGGTTTGACTCCATGGCCACATTTGCGCCCGCCACACCCACTCAAAAATGCCCAAAAAACGCTTCCACTCCAGTTTTCACTCACTCAAATCCACGTCAAAAATCCAATTTTACTCGGATTTTGAAATTTCTTTCATCATTACACTCCCAGATAGTTGCTTTCTTCAATCCAATATCAAACCCAATTTTTTCGAAATTTTTAGTATTTTTAAAATTTGAAATTCTGAATGAGGATTGTTGTAGTAATCAACAACTCAAATTACGCCTGCGAAATAATCATCAGCAAAATTGAGTTTGATATGGAATTGAAGAAAGAAACTATCTGGGAGCGTAATGGTGAAAGAAATTTCAAAATCCGAGTAAAATTGGATTTCTTGTGTGGATTTGAGTGAGTGAAAACTGGAGTGAAAGCGTTTTTTGGGCATTTTTGAGTGGGTGTGGCGGGCGCAAATGTGGCCATGGAGTCAAACCACTTCAGGGTTTTAGTACACTCATGAGACCCTATCATATATCCAAAGGGCATCGAGATCTGTTATTATCAACCTCGCAAGCTCCCCTCCTAAGTATTTACATTTTGAATGTACTAATTTGCCATCGTCATCAGAGTTGAAGAATCTGCAAAATAGATAAATACCCTATTTATTTATTGGTCCTTCACATTAGAATTGGGGCCTCCTATCCAATTTTCAATTCACAAAGAATAGCAACTAATAGTTTGTCAAAAAAAACTGTCGTAAATCGAGTTTGAGTCAATGCATTTAGAATATCGAATTAAGTATCAAATATGAATTGGAAGTAGACTACTAAATACTCTCACTATTGACAAGTTGAGTATTTCAACCTTAATTCGTATTTGAATTGATAGGAACAGTTGTCAGATTAAACTACGTTAATTCTATATACTTATTTCTCTGAGGTTATAAACTCTGCTTTGAAATTAGAGTGAATGGGGGAAAGTTATGAGGACTCTGCACTTCGCACTTCCAAACTCGGGTTCTCCACGTTTGCCAAGGTCCAGCCTTTCTCCTCTGGACAAGCTGGATCCAGTCTCAATTTTCTGTGAGTAAATATCCAACAAAAACATCCTCGTTGAGGACATTGAAAGGCGATATCGTATGACGCTCCGTAATATTTTGTAAATATGTGCACAACATTTCTTGTCTTACGATTAGTAGCTCCATATATTTTCACATTGAATGAAGGTTACCGTGCGAGGAATAAATAGCATTTACTTACATTCGATACGGGCGGGAGTAACAATGGCGATCTTTTTATTCGGTCAACATTTACTCGCCTCCTTGTTCATCTTGAACTAGGCGTAATAGATTCATACTTGACGAGGTGGTAATAAAGTTGGAAGTGATTGAGAGTGAGAAAGAAAGCTCAATGATGTGGTTGCAGAGTTTTTTGGGGAGGTTTTCCAAGTGGCAATTCTACTCAAAGGGAGCCCTTTATTTGCTAAGACTTTGTTCACAAATTCATCTTTTCTCTCATCTTCGATAATGATTAATGAACTAGCACGAACAGTGTTATTGCGTTGAATGCGAGCTGGGTGATAAATTTAGATGGGAGTTATTAGTGTCTCAGTCTCACCTTTCTGTCTCTTGTCAGTTGAACGAAATTTTCGCTCTTTCTCTTTCTTATTCCATCACTGATTCTCATGCCTCCTAAATACGACATTGGCCAGATTGTGAACATTATTTGCAATAGAAATCAGACGTGTCAAACAAGCTTTTCAAAGGCCGTAGTTACTATTCAAGAAAGGAATACTGAAAACTGAGTAATGCGTAGATAAGCTGATTTAGTTGATGAGATAAGTTATTATGTGCCTAATTATATTTTATGAAGTTTTAATTATAATCCTACTAATTTCGTATGTCAAGTGGTGAAAAATGAGTAGCGTACAGTGGTACATACAAATTTAGGATTAATTCAATAAGCATGAAATGACCAGATTGTAGCCCAGTTAACAGAAATTACTCATTTGTGGCTATGACTTAAGGTGAATTACATTCTAGAAATAAGCTCGACAAGGAAAGAAAGGTTGATGTATTTATTTTAGCTACATATTTGTGGACCGAATGAGCGTGTGAAAAAACGTATTGTTCAAACAAACCCATCATAAGCTTGTTACCTCACAGGTGATGGCTGATGTTGTTGTTATTCACAAACACGACCACGACGATGATGTAGTGAAAGTCTGTCGTCCCGATTTTGCAGATGACAACCCGTAGCAAACTGAATTAATCCTTTGACAAAGTGAAAGTAAATTCCCACACACACTTTAGCACATGGCATTGGAACTTCATGCATGGTTCAGGAAAATACCTGCCAACCAGCCAGCCAACGACCTGCTCGTTCATAGGAAAATATTTGCCACTCAACTACAATAATGTCACTAATAGGAAAGAGAAAGTACTTTCATTGCTTGGATGATTTGTTTAGTTTGTGCGACGTGTCAATCCTGAGCATTTGCATCCGCCGGCGCATGTCCTGCCTGACGCAAACAGGTATGAATAATGTGGCTTCAAGGCGTGTGGTCTTCAAGGACAAAAAGGGAAGCATTATCCAGGAGGAGAAGGCTTAGAGGACAAAAGTACCCTGCTCGGTAGGACTGACTCTTTATATTGGATAGCAAAGTGACCACTGCTCAAATTCGCTAAAAGTCTAGATGAAAATTACAAAATGTTGTTTTAAAAACACATTATGTGCAAACAAAGTTTTTCACCCCTCCCATTGTATCGTTCATGTGTAATACAGGAAATACGAATAGGGTAGCACACAATTTTACTTCCATATCATTCTGGTTATATTAGGTAGCTTTTTCTTGCAAATATGTCCTATTGTCTCCACGTGGTAAAGAGTCGAGTAGAGAGACCACCCCTTTCCCACGTGGTAATGTAATTACCAGAGGTTGGCAAAATACTTTGATCTCGACAAAATACACATGAAGGTGTGAAATATTCTAAAGTGCAAAATATCTACTACCCTGACTTTGATTTGGCATAAATTCAAAGTGATTTTAGGAAGGTTGGATTGGATCAGGAGGGCGAATTGGATAAAAAAATATTAGTACATACATAGAGAAGTAACTTGTACTGGATCTTTGTTAAACTTATTTTGCATACACTGTGCGAACTGTGTGATATTATATCCGGGTGAATATTTAGTTCCCTCTGAACATTTTGTCTATGTATTGAATATTTATATGAAATGATTTTGCGTCGTCCATGAATTCTGGAACTCAAAAATCCTGATTTCCGAGAAACATTCCCCCTTTTGCAAATTTCCAATATCAGAGCTTCGACCCCTCTGCGTTACGAACTGCGTCATACTTTCAGATTTGAAAGGGGGGACATCCGAGCTCATCCAAAGTGGAGCAAACTCAATTATCCTCCTCCAATTTGAAGCCAAGTCAACGGTTGCGATCCACTTCACTTTCCTCACTTTCTCCTGTTCACTTATCTAAAAGTTTCACTAGTTTCATGATCCAGCAATTTCTTCCCTTTTCTTTTTTGATGTGTGCGAATGAGCGCGGAGAAATATTTAATAATGTCAAGTGTTCAGCAGTTCAACTCGATAATAAAATGTGAATTTTGTCTTTTTGAGCCCTAAGTTCTGGTGATGGTGGTGGTGAAACTGTGGAAAGTCCGTGTACGTGTACGTTCCTATCTGGCCAAACTATTCCTCCTCTTGTTTAGGACGGCCTCCCTTTCTTTAATTATGCAATATCTTATCTTTGTCTATGCACGGCTTACAATTGATTTGCGAAAGGTTCTGGTACTCCCGTCTTCCTTGGACACATTATGCATTCATATCCATATGTACATACGCACAGCCAATTTGACTCGAATGTTTGAATATTGACATTCACGCAACTTTTATCATTAATTTTTCAGACCACTTTGAGTCCCAATTCCCAATTTCTACCTGAGCAGAAATATTTTTTTATAATACTTTACCATTGCTTTTGTCTAATACTTGCAATTACTCATCCTGTATAAGTTATATGTATGTACCTAGATACGTATATATGTATCAACAGTTTGTTAGTCCCGAATGATTCAACAGGTCCAATTTCATTCTCGGTAAGTGGTGCTGCAAACTACGGAATTAGTCTAATATGTATGCTGCACAGGAACCGGAAATCTTAAGTTCGTATAAATATACGACAACAATTCGTACAAGTGACTAAAACCTAAAAAGGGCACGCTTGAATTGAATTTTTTAACTTGCCCATGTGCCTGTAAATGTATCTGAAATTTAAGTTTATGAGAATTTAGGTCGTTTCTCTTTAAAAATTGTCCTTCCTGAGTTATGCTAAGCCAAACTAAGTATTTTTCTAATTAATTAAATTGGGGTTGTGCATGGCATATATGAGAAATAGTCATTGGTCAATAAAAATCGGTTTCGGTGCTTTGCTGATTCCTTTGTTACTGGTTTAAGCAAACATTCCAATTTCGATTAAATAATTGCATGCGATCAAGTGTACATGGACAATCGTAACACAAATATTGATTGGAACGCCGAAATACAAAAGTATGAATACATTTATTGCCCTACACTTTGCAAACATTACAAGCACCTGAGAAATAAAGAAGATAGTTTTTAACTCGTCAATTGCTATTATCAAGAGAAATATAGAAATGCTTCCCACCAGCGCTAAAAGAATAGTAAATTATTCGGCTATTATACAAATTTTTAGGAACCTCTATGTTGGATAAAAACAGTCATGGATTTTCTTTGCACGTTTTTAGAAACCGTAATATGAAATAAACTTACATGCAGGGAATGAGCTTACCTTCTTTGTATCTGCGTTGACCATGGTGCTGCTTTTTTCGTGGTGTTATGATGATTGCATATGTATTTTAGTCACATACACGTTATGCATCGTCTGTAACACGAAAAACTTCGCACTCCTAAAATTAAATATCTTCGCCGTTTTATGTCCAGTTTTAGAGTATGATTCAAAGTTGAAGCTAATAGATTGCCTTGGAAAGTGACCATCACAATAATGCAACTTCCAATGATTGCAGCGATTCAGGAGGTTTCTTCAAATATTATTGTCTAAGGTGCCAAATATTTTGAGGGAAACGCCTACGTACTTCTTCCTGAGAACTTTTCACATTTTTGAGCATCAGATAACATTGTCCTGTGAGAGTCATGGACGTTGAAATGTCCAGAAACTTCTCGTTCCTTATTTATCGCAAAATATTTTCCCTCCATAGACACCTCTTTCATCTTATCTTTAATATGTTTTGATCTTAACTGAATGTAAATGCTTTTGAAGATTTATGAATGATTAAATGAATGAATTAAGGAATTGAATTAAACAAAATATAGGAATTTGTGTCCAATATTCATTCTCATTATGCTCACATTTTTTCAAAGATTATTTCCTCACGAATTTCCTGTCTCATTCCATCAATCTTATCTCATTAAGATTAATTTAAGCTGTAGAACTCTAAAATCCGACACAAAATGATAAATATAAATTATTAGGCTTGGGGAGTTTTTGGTGTTACATCCGATAATTAGCTTATCTTAACTGCCATTCAATAGCGTGGAGTAAAATATTCAGGTGAACGTCAAGTCACGATAAATTATTATACTTTATTTAATTTCCCAATTACATTTAGATTTCACAACATGCAGAAAATACTTTTGCATATTTTTTTGTAGAGTAATTTTGTAAGTTTATAAGTTTTTAGAGTTTAAAATAAATTGCGAGAACTATTTACAAACATGTTTACCTTCGTGTACATAAGTACAATGTTGTGCAGTTTGGTCAGCGTATAGTTTAGTTGGTCTGTTAAAGCTGCATGTAAATATTTCGTGCTTGAGTCCCAACAATTAAATTGAACGATACTCATTGAAAATTTTCATAGAATTCTTCATGGATGAACAATTGCAAATTTACATTACTTTTGGCAACCATTGACGGACAATATTTTGCATATTTTTAAATGTACACACGATTATAAGTAGTAGACGACACCAAAATTTAAAATATGAGCTTATATAATTTCAACTATGTATGGAACAAGATCTATATGTAAGTAAACCGCATTTTATTATCGTATTAGCTTCCCAAATAAAAGTTTCCCCTTTTGATGTAGATTTTACCCATTTGCATAAAATACATAGATCAAAACTCATGCAGTGGGAATCGTACATAGGTAAACGTTTCATCGTGAGGGAGCTTTTAAGGTAACATAGCTTGCTTTGGCCACATGAACACCAACAATCTCAAAGGATTTGTCGACCAGCTTATCTCTATTTTCAATATTCATATGTACTTAGATACACATTTATAGACATCCATTAGGGAGAGAAACACATCTGAATAGAAGTAAAAGCTATGGTATAGCAAATGTACAACTTACCTTGCACAATCAACTCAACAATTGGTAAGGTTTAATTCGCACAATGTTAGCTTTGTACACGAATTGGACGCATTATTACTGATTGCGATTTGAGAATAAATTGGTATTAATAATATTTATCATAAACAAGTATGGTAACATACGTACAAACTGGTCGAAAACTGACCTTTGGCACAACAATTTGTCTGTACCACAATGAGAATAGAATAAAATACTTCAAAGACAACCCTATGTAAATTCGGATGAAAGAAGATAATTATCCACGTTAAGCAAATATGATGGTCTAATAATCTAGTGTATGTATTATGTATGTACAAGCAATCTTTCCAATGTGCGTGACTCTCTGTTTCACAAATAAAGACAACTCGTAAACAGAGAAAGTTCACTTCTAGAAAGAAAGCTACATTGGTCAGCATTTATATTTTCCCCAAAAATACAACTTGTTCAGTTGAATTAAATAAGTACTTGCACTAATATTTATGTATGTATGTAAATTCTGACAAGTGCGCCAATCTAAAATCTAATGTGCAGGTGAAATTATTCAGAAATCTAAACATTACATACGTATTAACAATTTGTACACTTTTTAAAATAAACTTTTCCATACAATTCTACTCTGACGGACGATGCCCCTTTCTCTGCTTATTGAGATTCTTGAGTCGAGTCCTAATGTTTTGAGTTGTCTCGTAATACCTCTGACAAACGGCAAACGGAGGCCAATTCGTTGACCCTGGTCCTGTAGTTGAGACCCCTGGACGTCGCTCATTGCCATGATACTCGGCATCAATTTGATGTTGCATTTCTATGTTGCTGCTACCACTGCCAATGCTACTGCTGGGAGTGGGTGTGGATCTATTTGCAAAATTTGACTCAACGTTGAAATTCTTGGCACCACTGCCTTTTCCAGTGCTACAAGGATTCCTACCCGAAAAATCGGTTATCCGTCCACCAGAAGTGAATTTTGGCTGACAATTCATGAAATGCCCAGCCTTGCCAATAAATCTCTGTTGAACATGGTAGCTCTGAGCTGAGTGGAACTGGTGGTGAATGTTTGTCAAGGTTGTGTGCTGCCCGAATGAGTCTCTACTAGTTGGATGCACAATCGGACCATGACATAATTTCGCTGCTATCTTTGCAAAATCCCCACCTGCTTGAATCTGGCTGCGTTTACTGTTCGAGGACGAGTCCTCCTCCTCGAAAGGATTTTGAACAACGACGCTGTCAGAATCTGTGGGCAAGATGCGAACAGGAATTGAGGACTTTCTCCGTCGAAGAGACATGTTGGGCTGTTGTTGTTGTTGGGGGAGAAAGCCCGGTTGCTGTCTGTTCCTTGACCCTTCGGTGGAAATCTGTCTTATAATTCTGTGCTGATATTGCAAGTGACTCTCGGCCAGCTCAGTAACACATGTATTCGGAGTAGTAACATCGCAAGCCGTCAGCAACTGGGGTTGTTCCTGCTCATAAGCCGACACCAAACAGGGTTGACCATCCGCAGTGAAAATGCCAACAGGTCGCCCGCTGGGGTCAACTCTTGCCATAATTCTAGGATACGTCGTGTTTTGATAGTTGGTCTGTGTGGTTGTCGTTGGACGTGGCTTTTGGCCGCCGTCGTTGCCACCCCCACCGCCCACGACATGAGTCACGCTCACCTCGGCCATGGGTGGCTGTTGGTATTGCTGGTGGAGGTGCGAATAGGGTGTCAGAGTAGCACCTCCTCGCAACTGAACCTCTCCTCCTCCTCCCAACGCCTCAAAGTTAGGTCCAGTCATGGCGTTATCATAAATGTGAACCATTGATCCCTGACTTCTGTGCATAGAATTCGATTCCTTGAGGATCTGCTCCCAAAAGTTTGCGTCCTCGCCCATCGCGTTACGTCGTCTATTTTGATTGTAATTCATGGGATTGAGATCGGTACGAATTTCAACTTGAGACTGGTCCAACAAATGTGCAAACTCCATGCCGGGAGTGGTTGGGGACGGTACCACGCTAGAATAGACCACTTTACCCCCTCCTACATCAACAAGTCCACTTTTGGGCTCTTGGTGATGACCATCCCATTTTGTGAGTATTCGTCGCTTGACTCCACCGTTGCACGGCACCTTGAAAGTGTCGGAATCCGAAGAAGAAGACCGTCTTTCGACGACGGGATGTTGACGTGAGTTCGTCATCGTGTCCGTCGGTGACATCATCGAGGGGGTGGCTGGAGGCTTAAAGTCTGAATAGTTTGGGGCGAGTTGTAAATGGTGAGACGTGGAAGAAGGAGGGTAGGACGAGGAAGAAGAAGAAAGTGGGGTTGGGGAGAAGGAGGCAGCTGGGTTGCACTCAGCCACCGTGCGAAGCATGGAATTCACAGAGTTGAAGTACTGGAGATGAACTGGGGTGGTGTGAACTAATTTCGCCATTTCCATCAAGCAGGGTGACGAAGGTGGCTGGGGGCAAGTCGAGTCCATGGACGATGGAGAAAGTTGTTGCTGCAGAATGCCATGTGGTGTGCCGTCGAGAAAAGAAGCTCCTCGATAGCTCCATTCGGAATTTGGACGACGATAATTAAACTGAGTTGCGGGATCTATTTGGCCTTGACCGTACTGGTTTCTGCGTTGGTAGTACTGGTGGTCGTTCCAATGTCTTGACCTTACATCTGGCGTATCAGATCTGACATTTTCCATCCTGTCAAAGTCGTATGTTAAAGAGGACCGATTGTTGCTGCCGGGGTTTGGTGAGACGATGGCTAGTTGAGACTGGTTGGGATTTTGAGACAATAATTGTGGAGAGTTTGGAGGGTAAGTTGACGCTGCTGCTCCGGCCGAAGGTATTTTTTGTTGGTACATTTTATTAGATCTTCCATAAAAGTGGAATGATTTGGAGGTGGAAATATCTCCTTGCTCCCTCAACTCAACACCGCTCGCTTGAGGTGGTTGGATTTGCTGGAAATGGAGGAAGGAGGGGATTTCGGGCATGTCGTCGTCGGTTCGGATGATCGATGTCAAATTACATTGAGGTGTTTGTCGAATGACACTCTCCCGGGTTACCCCAAGTGCACTTCTCTTATGAGAATGGCTCCCGTCCATGCCAAACCCAATTCGTGGTGGGTTCCTGCAGATGAACTCTGGCTCCTGTAATTTCGAAATATCTTTGATCGACACGCGAGTGTGGGTGTTGGATGTTGCTGTTGAGATGGAGTCGTTTTGAGGGTCGGTAGGACTTGGTTGGGTAATTTGGACTCTGGCTGTTTTCAGGAATGCCTCTCCTTGCGATGAATTGGTTGATGGAGTCATTCGTGCGAAAGGATTGTCAGACAAATTATGAGACAAATTGGTCGTGGTGGTGGTTGAGACTTCGTTCGTATTGGCATTGAGTAGGTTTTCCTCTCTATCGGACTGTTCCTGCAAATCTTGGAGCTCCTTTCCTCGTGGTTGACCTGTGAATATGTCGACAAGACTTTTGGGACTGAGACAAGCGGTTGTACTCACGTATGACACGTCTTCGGAGAAGTGCACCTTGACAATGTGCTGGTTGAAGCCTTGGCGAAAGTCGAAAAACTTTTGGCAGTAGGGACACCTAAAAAATTTGGTAGTCTATATATGAACATCTATACGTACATAAATCCTTACATATGTACACATGTAAAAAAAATAAGTATACGCATGAAAAAAATCATTAATTTATTCATGGAAATTGGAAGCCTGTGCATAATATTTTACTGGATGAGCTTCTTACCCCACAATATCATTCGACTGGCCGATGGCGTGGTTACGTTGACAATGCTGAAAGTACGAGTCCTTCGTATTGGGCATGACTTCGAGGCACAACCAGCATTGGCGTTTTCCATGTTTCGAGAGACACAGATTTGCTTGCTTGTGATTTTGGTATTGAGTATGGCACACGGAACAAAATGCTAATTTCCGTTTCAAATCATGGATTGGCAGACTGTGTAGTGTCTCAAGGGTATGGCTTTTGATGTCATAAGCTTCACCTTTCATTGTGCAATCTACTTCTGGCGTTTGGCAAACTATCGATGCTGACATTGGGCTTTGACTGGTGGAGGTGACATTATTGTGGTCATCCTTATTCGCAAGGACGGCATCTTCCACAATTACGAGACAGTCGCTGTCGTAGCCGTCACAGTTTGCGACGACGGGGCAGTCTCTCGTCATCTCGGGATTGTCATGATGATGATCTTTGGATCCGGGGGATAACACCTTTCCTCCTCCAAGGAGCTTGGTTGTGGATGTGTCACATTCCCCGGACAGACCTTCCTTGCCTGACTCGCCTCCTGCTGCGTCTCTTTTCTCATTCTCCCCACTTTCTCCAACTTCTGGCTTCTCAGAGGAAGGAATAACTTGGGCCATAATGACAGGGGGTTGTTGTTGTTGGAGCATCAGATTTCATTTGGAAGTACGCAGAATGCAGGACAAATATGCTGCCCTTGAGCTACAATTTGACTTTGGGGAATACTTTGCACACGATGCGAACATTTGAATCATCTTTGTAAAGGTTATGAACTACTGCTATAAATCCACTTTCGTAAAGTTATCATTCCAAAGTTTTTTGTTAGTTTAGTTCATGTATTCAAATGAGACGTGGACGTGTTATCAATCGCGTTGACTTAGAGGTTCAAAACAATCACCCAGAACTGAAAGTGGTGAATCTGACAACGTTGGGACAAGATGCCTTGGGTGAAAGTGAAGTGGAGATGCTCGGAATACTCTGGAACCATAATGATCATCACGACTGCAAATAGTTGAATTTGCATTCGAAGGGAAGCCTGTTGTCCGCGTTGTGCGTTGGCCGACTTGTAAAATCGCTTAACCGGCACTTTCGACCTTTTTTTCAGAATGAGTCGCACCAGCTTTCTGAGCTTCTGTAATTTATAGAATTACCCAATTTA